ATGTCATATATATTTAAATGTACAGTATGGACTGACAAGACGGAGATGTATGTCAAAGACGATGTACCATGTTCAATGTTTTTAATCTTTTCTTTTTTCTTTTGTATTCAATAAAAATATATATAAAAAACTTTTTTTTTCCATCAAAGGCCTGAGAGTCTGGCACACAGGGGTCCTCTCCTTGCTCCAGGAGAGAGACAAGACCAGACTTTGGAATAGAAAACTCTTCATAGAAAAAAGAGAACACAGCCTCATTAGGAGGCATCCTGCTTTTTTTTTTTTTTTTTTTTTTGGAAGATATTGATGAATCAAACAAGAGTACCAGACCTGCTCTTTCTGTTTCCCACAATGCCTACCTAAATGCTCTTGGAAGACCACAGATGCCTCCTACCATATTGCTTATTCAAATATGTAGCATTCTCCAGACATATTCCCTTACAACAAATAAGCTTTATTCAGTTCTATGACTCTTGGTTATTTTGTTTTTTAATGATTTTAGTACTCTTTTAAAGAATATGTATGTCAGAACTAGCTGCATGTAGACCTTGGCCCAATTTCAAAATTCAGCTATTTGAACCCAGTCCTATCTACATTTGCCTTAGATTCTGTGTTTTTTTTAAATGAAGAAATGTTATTGGTTTTTTTTTCATTTTTTACATAAAAGTGCTTGAGAAACAACGTGGTGATTGGGCTATCAATTATCCTAAAACAAAATCATACATATATCACACAAATTAATTCCTTGGAAGTTCTCTCTCTATTTCCCACATATTATTTTACCAATTAAAATTATTACATTTGTAAAAAAAAGCTCAATCAATCCAATTAATCATCAATCACATTTCAAATATAAGAATCCAAATCCTGTTTTTAAGCTTTACTATTTTGAAAATTACCATATTCCAATTAAGCTTATATTAGCACTTCAGAAATCCCTCATTTCTCTTTTCCCTATCATAATGATTCTATCTAAGGTAAATACAGAGGTGTAGCGTGGGGGGTGCAGGGGGGGCCGGCCGCACCGGGCGCAACATCTGGGGGGGGGCGCGCTCGCACTCGCAGCTCTCTGCCCCTGCCTGGCTCACTCACTCTCTCTGCAGTGCTGGCTGTGCGAATCCGATCCGAGACGCCGGGTTGCCGACGCCGCCCACTGTGGAGGGGGGGGAGTGCCTTGCCCCGGGTGCTGACAACCCACGCTACGCCACTGGGTAAATATATTATCCCAAACAGCAACATCCTTACTTTTTTTTATATATAACCTATTGCTTCAACTAATACATCATTTATTAATACTATTACTTTTCTTATCACAAATATCTCCTCTTCTCCATTACAAAATAGTTATCTTGGTTAAAATAAAGATATCAGTCCAAAAGATCACATTTCTGTCTATTTTAAATATATATTCTATCAATCAATTAAGTAACATTTACCCCTCCAACTACTTATCATCTCTAATACCCAATATTGTTACAAAAAATATCCTTTTAGAAAATCATCTATTTCATTTGTTATTAAAACAATCCAAACGTCAACAGTCTTTTTAACCCATTCAGTGGAATTTTAAGCCACATTTTTAAACCTAACTCTAGTTTTCTTTCTATACCAAGCTGGTTTCCATAATAAAGCCTCAGCATCATCAAACCTCAACATTTGAGTAGAGCTATTTCTCAATACATCAAAATAGTCAAAATTCTCTTCTCTTTCTTTCAATATTATTGAATAGTATAGTCAATTTTATTCCTTATTGTAGTTGCTAGTTGATTGTCCACAATATCACAATTTTCAATAACTTGTAGCTGAATGTCAAGCTTTGTTATTTCAAATAGCTCATTTTAATGTTATTCTTTGATCATCAATGTTCTCCATAGGTCGTGAGTAGGATTGTGTAGAATTAATTTGCTCAGTAGTTTCAACAATTCTTCCTGATGTAAGTTCATGATTAAATTGTAAGTGCAGTTCCTCTGTCTCATTCAGTTGTGTATTTTGTTAAGTAGGAACCTCTCTAGGGTTACTTTGTTCTTCCTCCGTTATTCTTTGGTCTATAATTTGAGCCAATGGTTGATAGTCAATTTGTAGTTCCCTAGCATCATCTTTGGTTTTTCTCCAAGATTTAATATAAGTTTTCATATAATTTGTAGTTTCCAAAATCTTTTCCAGTATAAGTTCATAATCGAGCTGTGGATAAGATTCCTTCATTTCAAAAAGAAATACAGTTGTAATGACACTTTTGCCACAAGATGTCCTCAGTGGACTGTAAACTCTTTCTTCCAGATAGATAAAAATTTATCTCTTTCGGCAAGCAGAAAGAGAAAAAGCAGGTATCTCCAGTATAGTAGATGGAGTAAAGAAAAAAAATATAGCGTTTCTTTTTTATTTTTTTCAGGGCCCCTAAGTATCCAAAAAAAAATAATCAAGTAGTCAATAAAGCTTTAACTATTTTAGTTCTTTTAAA